GGGCACTAGATTCATACGTAGGCCAGGGATGTGTGTGGGCAGGTAGGGCGAGGTGTGGTGATGGGCTCTGGATTGCGCTCTAGATTTCCATGAAGGCCTTCGCGATGGTCGAACGACCTGAGGAAGTGTGTGTGTGTGTGTGTGACGGACACATGTCACGGCTCCTGATATTGCTGTGCGGGACGTTCACAAGTGGTCGGCCAGGCCGATTCCTGATTTAAATATGAGGGAATGGAAGCATGTTGGGATTGGGCTCAGTGCTGTTGGAAGGGACGATGGTGGTTACGGCTGTCATGGTGGCCAAGGAGAAAGGTCGGGCCCGACGTGCGGCATTTCTTAAGTTTCAGTTTACGCCGACTATGACATGTAGTAAAGACATCGATTTTGCGACAGAAAAGGACAATTTGCTTCCTTACTCTATTTGGAGGGTTTTTTTCCCCTCGCCAACTCGACTGCGAGGGCTCCGTGGTGAGTGTTATTCTAACCCCACGCGATAGATGAGTTGGACCAAAAGGAGGACTAGATCGCGGTCCCACCGGCGTTATCGGGAGTGCGTACCCATAGCAAATGCCACCATTGGGGTGTGATGACACTCCCGTCTGAGAGTCCACGCCGCGCCGATTGGGAACTGAGACGCTTCCTCTCTTTTGTTGTATGAAATCCTGGCCGGTGTCCGTTGTGGACCAGGGAGTGTGGTGGTACGCCTAGGTGTGGGTATTCGTCATGCCAGCCACCTGGGCCCTCTCCCGCCTCCGCTCTACTTGACGCTGCCTTGACACTGAACCCGGGTGGGGGAGGAGGAGGGCGTGCAGTAGACGCGGCGCAAGCCTACTGCCACTTTAACTCACACGCAAGTCATCATCCCTGCGATGACTGAATGTGCGTGGACAGTGCGAGCGGTTGAGATGGTGGCGACGGGTGTGCGTTAACTGTCCATACACTGGTTCACCGGTCTCTGTACGATGGATTCGCAAGTGACCGACGAGACCGGTGCTCAATTATGAAAGGTTGAGACGGAGTCCTGATTATTTCCGGAAGAGAAGGCAGGAGGTCCAGGCCGCTGTTCAGTCCCACCTGGCACAGCCAACGAATGGTTGTGTTGGAGATCGTGGATGGAAAGTTGAAGGCGGTTCTGAAGTGCTTAGTCCAGGCCAGGATGAACAGACTCACTGTTGCAGCCTGCTTGATGTGGCTGGAGGATGGAGACGAGGGTTGTTCTTGTTGTTCATTGCTGCTTTTCGACCGCGAGCTTTGCATCTACAAGCCACGGTATACCTGTCGATAGTGTTGTTTCCTGGCATTTCTCTATGATGCGATTTCTAACGCCTTCCCGATAGGAATAAGAAGGGCTTTCCCTAAATAGGGCTATTTGAGCATCCTGGTCGACTGCAGAACTCCACCGTAAGTCGCGACTTTGTTCAGTTGAAAGGGACTGGAGTTAGCCTAGGCCACCTACCGGTTTGTAGGTCGCCCTCTCCTTAGGACTTTCTAAAAGTTGTGAGGAGAAGCAGGGAAGCAGAATTGCCAAACGTGGGAACGCACACAGCAGCAGATACCCTCATCTGGTTTAGCCCGCCGGTCGAGGCGGTTATCAGGGTGTGACCGCTAGGCAAAGTCTAGCTTCAGGGAGCTACAGATGAGAGTTTGGTGCCAGGTAAGGACCGTGCGGTGCAATCACCACGTTCATGGTACGACCCACCATTTCTGCCCGGATGTCCCCTAACTGGACACCTCTGCACTCATCCTCCTTGTCCGTTGCGGCTACAATGAAAATTAGTTATGGAGTACGCCAACCGTCTAAATCACTAAGTTTTTAGGAAAAATGGCATCATAGGAAAGCGACTCATTCCGCATACGAATCATATTCAGCAGTTGACATCTGTACTGAACGATAGCGCTTCTACAGGACCCTCTGCCACCAACATATCTGCATCAGCACCGGACCTTCCACTGCCATAGCGCACCGTTGAGAAGTGTGGAAGCTTCTTGGACGGATTCCGTCTGGAAAATGAATCTGCCGAACAGACGATTTATTCCCTTGCAGATAAGCCAATTAATGAAGGTTGGCGACCGCCATCTTCATGAAGTCGTCGGACCGTTATTGTATCCATTATCCGCCCGAACTCTGACCACGTTCTACACCCCCACACATAGACGTCTGTTTTGTCGATGTAACCTCGATGTCCCCCCAGCTCCCTAGTGCGATTATCTACGGGTTGGTGTAACCGACTTGAAAATTCACGAGTATACCTCGATTTTCCGACGGTTTCCGGCGGTTTCGATGGGCAACATAAGGCACAATGGAA